GGCCATGATCTGGTTTTTCAATGTTTTCTTTTTGCGTATTGTAGGTTGTAAGTTATTTGTGGCTGGTTGAACAGTAGCAATATTGTTCAAATTTTAGTTCCTGTTTTTGAAGATGATACTTTGATGAATTAATTTTTCTTTTACTTTACCCGTCCTGGTTTTAACTGTCATGCTTTTGAGGGATCTTGTTTTTGTATGTATTTTTTGGTTGTTGAACAATCCTAGTTGATAACCCGAATGTCTGGAAATGTGATGCAGAGTTGTTGCGTGTTAGGTAGGAATCCATGGAAACACAACCAGACGGTAATGAGGACACGATAGCTGCCGTTAAAGATATGAGGCAACAGCTTGAAGCTCGCATAGAGTGCCAACACAAGGCTCACATGGAGATACTTGCTTCTATACAAACAGTAATACCTAATCTTGTTTCATCCCTTGACCTTTCTCTCAAGGTTGTGTCTTCTTTCAACCATCGTCCTTTTGCTCCTACACCTGCTTTGCCTCTGCCTGATCCTAAATTGAACCCTAAAAGACCTACTGAACAAACTCAACGTTCCAATTCTGAATCCTACGCCGATGGCTCTACTGAAGCCGACTTGACAAATCCCAGGAATCAAAAACTCAAAACGTCTATGGATTCAAACCCAGCATCTCAAGTGGATTCTGAGAAGATTAGTCCATTAGCGGTGGTTCGATCACTGGTTGCCGTTTGTCTATTAGGGCGAGTGCCCTTCTCACCAATTGATTCTTCCACTGTGTCAAGGAAATTGGAAAATGATCAGACAGTGACACCAGCAGAAAAGACAGCGCTTCAGGAGCTCGGAGGGGATTCAGGGGCAATACTTGCAGTGGAGATAGCTTTAAGGTCAATGGCAGATGATAACGGTGGTGTTGAAGTGGAGGAATTTGTGGTTAGTGGCAAGGCAAGGATTATGGTTTTGAATATAGACAGGACCAGACTTTTGAGAGAATTGCCAGAAAGTGCACAGTATCAACGGCTTGAATCAAGTTCTGGAGATGGGAATGTAAATCAAAATCAAGTTCAACAAATCACTAACAGTGGTACTAATGTGAATGGTAGTTTGCTTGGGATGGGAAGGCCAGTTCTGAGACCAATGTCTGAAATGTGGATACCCCATGGGGATCCTCATATGTCAGGGTTGCAGCCAATGTTTCCAGGTGCACCAAGGGGGGCACCCAGGGTAATGGGCATGATGGGGACTCATAGAGGTATGAGTATTCCTTCAATGCACAGACTCCCAATGGGGCCAAATGCACAAGGGAGTAGTCCTAATGCAATGTCACAAAAACCAAGAACTTTAGAGGATGACATGAAAGATCTTGAGGCTTTGTTGAATAAGAAATCGTTTAGGGAGATGCAAAAATCTAAAACCGGTGAGGAGCTTTTGGACCTAATTCATCGTCCAACTGCAAGGGAAACTGCTGTAGCCGCTAAGGTTTAAGCTCACTGCCTACTTTAATAGGCTCTATACTAAAATTTCCCTTATGCTTGATTTCAGCTTTGGTGCAATTTTCTACAGTTTAATCTAATTCAGCTTTTTTACTATGAATTGTTTCAGTTCAAAACAAAAGGTGGTTCCCAGGTCAGACAATACTGTGACTTACTGACTAAAGAGGATTGTCGACGTCAATCTGGTTCCTTTATAGCATGTGATAAGGTTTGTGATAAGGACATTATTTTACTGTTTCTAGATCTTTTAGATTTTATTTCAACTTTTTTTATCTCTGTTGGTTTAAACCAATGTGCCGATTATTCGGTTTTAAATGAAATCTAATCATGAAGATTGGTGTTTACTTTTTCTGTTAGCCTTTCTTGACATGCATTAATCATCCTTCCACTGCCAGGTTCATTTTAGACGGATTATTGCTCCTCATACCGACATCAATTTAGGAGACTGTTCTTTTCTTGATACTTGCAGACACATGAAGGCATGATTTTTACCCGATTCTATATTGTTTTGAAATTATTTTCATTTTAGTAATCCTTATTCTTAGTTTGAGTTGTGTATTGTTCTTTTGTCCTTTGACAGACATGCAAGTATGTTCACTATGAGTATGACCCTACACCTGATGTGTCTCCAACAATGATGGGTGCCCCTGCTCCTCCCAAACCGCTAAAGCCTCAGCGTGCTGAATATTGTTCTGAAGTGGAACTTGGTGAACCACAATGGATCAACTGTGATATACGTAACTTTAGAATGGACATTTTAGGTCAATTTGGAGTAATAATGGCAGATCCACCATGGGACATTCACATGGAACTGCCTTATGGAACAATGGCTGATGATGAAATGCGCAGTCTTAATGTCCCTGCTTTGCAAACTGATGGGCTTATTTTTCTATGGGTCACTGGACGTGCAATGGAACTTGGACGGGAATGGTAATGTTTTCGTGTTTGGTTATATGCTATTTGTTATTTTGTAGGAAAAATCTATTACCTGATTCTCGTACAAGGCTGCCTTTTATTAATAATTCGTTTTCGGTTTCTATATTCCATATGCTCCATCCAGTTTGGAACTTTGGGGATATAAACGTGTTGAGGAGATTATTTGGGTGAAAACAAATCAACTTCAGCGAATAATCAGAACTGGGCGCACGGGCCACTGGCTCAATCACAGTAAGGAACATTGTCTCGTTGGAATAAAGGGTAATCCTGAAGTGAACAGGAACATTGACACGGATGTTATTGTTGCTGAGGTCAGAGAAACAAGTCGTAAACCGGATGAGGTTTGTATAATATTCATTTGTCATTCTGCTGCTTCTGACGTTAAATTCAAATAATTCACATTCTTAACATTTTCAAATTTGTCATTGTATTCCTGAAGATGTATCCTATGCTGGAGAGGATAAGTCCAAGAACAAGAAAGCTAGAACTATTTGCTCGCATGCACAATACTCATGCAGGGTTGGTTTTCTTAACTAGTGTATTTTCCTTTGAGATTTTCTTTCATGGTATTCATGAAATATGTCGATTGAGGTTGAGGACAGTCTAATTATGTCATGGATTTTGATGCTTTGTAAGCAGAGTTTACATGATAATGTTCTAAGAACCTAAACTGATAGAAAGATAGAAATAAACTAGTTGGTTTAGGGCTTAAGAATCATCTTAGTAGAAATTATTAACTGTTGGTGTTATTATTGATTATGTTCTTTCTTGTTCTCCATCAGATGGATGTCTCTTGGTAATCAATTGAGTGGTGTAAGGTTGGTTGATGAGGGACTGCGAGCAAGGTTTAAGGCTGCTTATCCTGATGTGGAGGTGCAACCACCATCGCCTCCAAGAGCTTCAGCTATGGAAGTTGACACTAGTGTTGCTCCTCACACCAGGAGTCCATTTGCAGCCACAGAATCAAAGTCCAATTCAACTCAGTTTGCAGAGACTGCAGCAGCTCCAGAAACAAACTTTACTTCAGAAGATAAGTCAATGGCTATTGATGTTGACATGGGTTAAGTTTCCACTTCTGGTCATGCTTAGTTGTAGCTATTCCTTGACAAAGCTGAAAGCAGAACAGTATTCTGATCTTTTCACCATTGTTAATTTTACTATTTCACACCTCTTTTTAGGAAAGATAGAGTAACAAAGGTATCCCGGAAGAAATATTTCTCTTTCTCTTAGGCGAAGATGCTTTTGCAAGTGAAATAATTATGAAATAGTTGTTAATGACGAGGAATGTTGTAAAAGTCTAATTCCATTTTGTACATTTTGTTTTTATCAAAGTTTTTTGTATTTGATAATATTAATGTCAAATTAGGAGAAGCAAATGCATATTAATGCTTAATGCTCATATGAGACTATTTTCTCCCTTTAAAACTTTTTATTGGAAGAAAAGGTCAATTAAACTTAGCATGTTAATCCATCACATTATTAATTATTTAATACAGAAAAACACATCACTGTTTTTAGATTATATATATATATATATATATATATATATATATATATATTTATATTTCAATTAATCTTGATTCTTGAAAATTTTTTCAGACTATATTTTTTTCATGTATTCATTACAATTTGAGAATTAAATTAACCAAAAATGTTAATCCTAATCAAATTCAGTTAAATAAATATTAAAACTAAAACATACTAAGTCACTCAATTTATAATTCCTTTAATTAATACCAGCACAAACACATATGTGCTAAGGCGTTCACATTTTAAAAATATGTTTAACATTATATTTTTGAGTTTATGATATTTAAAATTTGATTATGCTAATTTATAAAGTAAAATTACAAATAACATTAGAAAGTTTATAATGTATTTGTTAGCATGTTATAATAAATAAAGTACTTGTAGGAAGTCTCATAATTTTGGAATAATAAATTATTTGTTAAGTGAAAAATCAAATAAAGATATGTGTTTAAACTTCTATGTAATTTTTTAAAAGTAAATTATTTTTTAATGAATTTATTTAGCAAATATAACAATAATTGAGAAAATGTAAAATTATTTAAATATAAAACATAATTTTTCAGTCCAACGTAATTTTCATTTTAAAGGATGTGGACAATGTCACAACTGACTGTTTTATTTATTGTATTAAAATATAAATGATATTATTTATTTATTTCATATAAATATATGATCATAGTAGTCATAATATATACTTATAGTATAATTCTTAAAAACTCTATCACATTAACTTATAATATTTTAAATTTATTTATTTGTTTACATAAATTGATTTATTTAGTGTAGTTATAGTTATTATAAAATTTTAAAATAATAGTGAATTTTTTTTAAAAGCCTGCCTTGACCCTGAGCATAAGAAAATGGAAATTGGGATCTGAAATCTAAGGTTTTGTAATCAAAATTAAAAATAATCTGAAATTAAAATCAGCAAAGAAATTTTGATTAAGAATGAAAATTACATTTCAAAAGAAGAATGGATGGAGAATTATGGAAGTACATTTATTAACATTAATATAATAAATATTTTGTAGTATAATTAAAAATTTAAACAAAATCAAACAAAATCCTATTTCTTCTGCAGGCACACACACTCTCTCTGGTTCTTTGCTCATTCATTCTCTGATTCCAAACCTAAAAGAAACCAACTTCTCTCTCTTCTTCTCTCAGTATCAGTAAGCATTGCGCTAGGCGGCTAGGGTTAGTTGCTTCCTTATCACTCTCCCAATCAAACATCGAATTTTCTTCCGTAACCTTAGGTTTCTGAGGAGATTTTTCTTCCATCTACCAATTAATCACTTGTTTTATTCTTTTCTGTTTTTTCATTACCTATCTATTTTTTACATAGAATATAGGGATTTTTATTTTACTTTGTATTTTTTTTTTCAATGTTGGTGTCCTGGATGGGTTTGCAATGCAGTGAGTTCTGCCATTGTTGCTTCAGTGGTGCTTTGATTTTCCCAGGCGATTTTTCACCTTCGAGTGCTCTCCAGATCATTAGGAATCAGGGTTTTTTATTCTGTATTTTAAGGTGACTCTTATCCTCCCACCTAAGTCCTTTTTTTTCCACAATAAATTTAAGTTCTGTATTTGGGTTGTTAACTGTTGTATCATTTTGGGTTCTTTTGCCCAGAACTTGTTTTCTGGGACGAGTTATTTATAGGGAAGGCTTTTCCATTCCCAGAAAACTAAGTTAACCTTCATTTTTTGGAGGTTTCTTTAGATTTTCATTTAAAGTATTTCCAAATGAAATTTTCCTTTTAGCCTAAATTTTTATTTTTATCTGGTCTCCTCTCACTCTAAAATTTTATTTTTGTCTGGTCTGATTTCAATTCAGTCGTACCTGGTGGTTGATACTTCACTGTTCACGCACATTATATAGCAGGAGACTTGTTCAATCAAATCCATAAGAATAAAACAAACTTCAATATTGGAGCCAGCTATCTTGTGAAGAACTAGCACTATAAGTGTCCAAACCATTTTTAAGTATTTTAATACAAATTAATTTTAATATGGGTAATAAAACTCTGCTCAAGTGGCCAAAGCAAATCACAAATTCCATAGTTGTGCAGTTAATTAAAGCAGAAAAGGACGCTCACAAAGCTGTTACTATATTCGATTCTGCAACTGCTGAATATAGTAATGGGTTTCGTCATGATCATGAAACTTTTGGTCTCATGATCTCCAAGTTAGTAGCAGTGAATCAGTTTAGGACAGCAGAAGGGATGCTGGAGAGAATGAAGCAAGAAGATTGTAAGGTTACAGAGGACATACTTTTAACTATATCTAGGGGTTTTGGACGGGTGCATAGGCCACTTGATGCCATCAGGGTTTTCCACAAGATGGAAGATTTTCAGCTTAGACCCACTCAAAAGGCTTACCTTACAATAGTAGATATTCTTGTGGAGGAAAACCATGTAAAAAGGGCTATTGGTTTTTATAAGGAGATGAGAGAACTGGGCTTTCCACCTACTGTTGTTTCCCTCAATATTTTGATCAAGGCCCTCTGCAAAAACAAGGAGACTGTTGATTCTGCCTTACTGATATTTCAGGAAATGCCCAACCATGGGTGCCAACCTGATTCATATACATATGGTACATTGATTAATGGGATGTGTAGACTTGGAAATATCAGTGAGGCAAAGGAACTATTCAAAGAGATGAAGCAAAAAGGTTTTTCAGCTTCTGTTGTTACTTATACTAGTTTGATACATGGCTTGTGTCAGTCTAATAATTTAGATGAAGCTATTGGATTGCTTGAAGAAATGAAAAGAAATGACATTGAGCCAAATGTTTTTACTTATAGTTCTCTTATAGATGGTTTGTGCAAAGGTGGTCATTCATCACAAGCAATGGGATTATTGGAAGTGATGGTCAGAAAGAACCATTTACCCAACATGGTTACTTATAGTTCTTTAATCAGTGGACTGTGTAAAGAAGGAAAGCTTTGTGAATCTGTGGAGATTCTTGATAGGATGAGGATTCAAGGCTTGAAACCAAGTGCAGGGTTGTATGGAAAAGTCATAAGTGGCCTCTGTGCTGTAGGAAGCTTTCAAGAAGCTGCAAACTTCATTGATGAGATGGTGCTAGGTGGTATTTCGCCTAATCGAGCAAGTTGGAGCCTTCATGTTGGGATGCATAACATGGTAGTCAAGGGTCTTTGTAATAATATTGATCCACCTCGTGCATTTCAGTTGTATCTGAGTATGCGAACTAGAGGCATCTCTGTTGAAGTTGGCACTTTTGATTGTCTAGTCAAATGTTTTTGTAAGAGAGGAGACCTGCATAAAGCTGCTCGGATTCTTGATGAGATGGTGTTAGATGGATGCATTCCAGATGAACAAATATGGAATGTTGTAATTGGTGGACTTTGGGACCGAAAAAAAGTGAGAGAAGCCACTGAGCTGTTGCTGGTTGAGCTGAGGCAGAAGTTTGTTGAAGCTGAAAGTTGAAGTCTGTGTTTCTCACATTATCCATATGCATTTCATTCTTACTGAAAACCTTTGGTATCTGGTGGTCTTTTTCTAATGTTGAAGGTTGTTATTTAGTTGCCAGTTGTGTTAGGCATATCAATCTTGCTTATTTTTTATTATTGCATTTAGTCTCAATTAATTTTGTGCTCAGTCCTTTAATGGCTTGCTTGTTATTTGTGCTAACTGTTAAATGAATCTGTAATTGTTTCTAGTATAGTTTAGCTGTCTTTTTAAATGCAATGATTTGATCATCACGTGACTCCACCATCAAAACATAAAGGAAGAGATTCTTGGATATTGTTGAAGAAAAAAGATTTCTCGTCAACCCCTGTAGCTTTTGAACCCTTAAATTCAACCACTGAATTTTAGTGAATTTTAGGATTCTAAATTACCCATTTCTTTTGAGCCGCTTCAAAGAACTTCAACATTTATCATTTGAAGCTACAATTTGTTGCTTTCAAGTAAATTTTGACATCATTATCGTCTCAACCTTGATCTTAGATGGACAACCAAATATCCTCTAGTAGGTGTATACAATAAAAGACACGATTTCAATTCTTCTAATCCTATATATTTTTGGAGCTTCATAACATTACTAGTTAATGCCCAAATTGTTGCATCAAGAAATTTGAAGACTTTTTTTTCTTGAAAAAATAGTTTTATCTTTAACTTTTACAATTGACATTGCAGATCCAAACTAACCTTTTTCCTTTTTTTGTGACTGAAGATGTGCTGCCTTTTCAATTTATGATCTCACCTCATCTCAAAGGGTTGACATTTTCTGATGATCAGTGTCTTTGTGATCTGATGGTTTGAGCTTCAAATTGAGGAAGTAAATGTGCGGTGTAGGATTTAAAACTAAGCTATCCTTGGGGCTGCGACTTAACATTCCACACAACCCTGCTCTGTCTGAGTAAGGTAAATTCAGGTAATTGCAAAATTGGTTTTTTTGGTCGAACCTATTACTCGTTGATGTTGTCAGTTCGTAGAAAATTTGTTTCAGTCAGTTGCAGTAATTTAGCAAAATTTTGTGTATTCTTTAGTGCTCTTATAGTGTAACCATTAAGATTTTAGTTGACATTCTTTATTTGCAGATTACAATTATATGGCCTGACTCCTCAGGCATTAATATATTGGAATTTCATTTGATGTTGGATTCAAAATCGCACATGTGTTAAATAAAGGGGGGATATTCATTACTAGATAGCCTCTTAATGAGGATGGGTTATCATTATCACTGACTTGTTGAATAATGGCTCTTGAATATTTATGAATTCGAGCTGAATACTATTAAGTTTTTTCTAGTTGTATACTTCTAAGTCTGAATTAAACAATAAACCCAAATCAAATATAAGACTGTTGAAAAAATACAATTTGTTTAAGGTAAGATTCAAGTAGTTGAAAAGTTGCTCGAGCAATCTATTCTCCGTTAAAAAGGAGGACTTGGTGTTAGCTGTTGCTTACCCGATCAAAAGAGTGCTTCTAAGGTTTAATACATAGATTAATCAAGAATTTCTATAGCTTGGTTTAAGTCAGCTTTAAATATATTAAAATGTTTTAATAATATATAATTTAAATAACGGATTTCAGTAGAATATATATGGATATGTGTGTGTGTGTTTATGTGTATAATTTGTTCCAGAAACAAGAAATAATCAATCCAATTAAATTATTGAAATAGGTAAAAAAAATTGAATATAAACAGAAGACTATTAATTTGTTGGAAGGGGGAAGTCAGTTCCATGCTCTCTTTAGGAAGTGCAACGAAGAACATGATGCCCAAAACGTCAATTCCCACTGGCAATGCTGTGTGGATTTTCTGTATCTCAGCAAAGGATGTGGAAAGAGGCAATTCACTACATTCTGATCAAACAACACAATTACTGCAACTACCAAAGTTGTCATCACTGCATGCATGAAATCTATGAACTTTAGTCGATAATTTGCTCCGAGATGGGGTGGAAGGGTGGTTGATCCATCAATAACAGATATTCCCCTTGTTGTCTCTGAAGTCATTAGTTAAAACATAATAAAAGCATGAGGAACCACATAGAGATACAAGTGCAGCAGTCATGGCCATACCGACAGAGTCACAGTAGCCAGTATTTCTGAAGATTGGAGAGAGAAGTTGGAAAGCAAGGGTTGTTCCAATTGGTAAAAGATTGGCCAAATGGACATTGCTGGCAGTGTCACAGTCGCCAATATCTGTGAAGAGTGCAGAAAGAAGTCGGAGAGCTAGGACTGCGCCAGTTAGTAAAAGGTTGGCCAAATGGGCAGTGCTCTGAAATGTCTAACCAACGGCTTTCTAATTTTTATGGATGATCACTTTTTTGCTGGCAGCTTCTAATTTTTTGTTTTCTGGTGTTGCTGATGTTCGCTTCAAGTTTCTTAGATTGCCAATAGATGTCAACCGTAGGGGATTTAAGACATGGCAGCCAGTTGTAGACTCTTTGAAGAAGATTCTAGCTTCTTGGAAAGGAAAAGGATTCTTTCAGAGGAAGAATTACTCTCCTAAGCTCTGTACTTTCAAGTTTGCCTCTTTATTTTCTTATCCTTCTACAAGTTGTCAAAGAGCATTGCTAAAACACTAGTGGGTTGAAGAAGAGAAATCCTTTGGTGTGGGTTAGATGAGAGAAAAAAAAATTGCATGGATTAGTTGAGATAATATATTAGCGTGCTTGGTAAGTGGGTATGTATTAAGGAAAAAACTTGTGTAAATGGTGCGTGAGGTAAGTCCAATTCAGTCTTTGTGGTTTTAAAAAAGAGCATTAAGGTAAGTTAGAAATGGGAAATCGTCAAAATTTTGGCAAGACATGGATAGGTCTAACTCCCTCTAAACATTTTTTTCCAAGGTTTTATCAAACATCAGAAGACAAGCAAGCATTTTTATCTTTGAAAAGGGGGATTAGAAAAGGGAACAATGGTGTTGAAACTAGAAGTGGCGCAGGGATATGTTTTTTGGGAGGTAGATCTCTTGGATATTTCAAATCTCATTTCTTACCGAACAAAGGAACCTTGTGTAGAATTTTTTTTTTCTGCAATTTTGTGTAGAAACATTTGGATGAGTTTTGTGTCTCACGAGGTGAAAGTTTTCTCTTGGAGACTATTCCTTTACGGGTTGCCCACTAAAGTTGCTCTTTTTAGAAGACATTTTTTTTTTCTCATGATCACTGACAAACCTTATGCTGTTTTTGCTTTAGTCATCCAGAAGATTGCTAGCATCTGTTCTTCTTATGTTCTATAGCTTCTCTACTTTGATATCATATGTATGCTTGGACATGTCTTCACACAGTTCTCTAACAGTGTTTGGAGAAACTCATTTTCTTCTAAAAGGAAAAAGGGTTAAGAAGGCTCGGTACCTAGTGTGGCATGCATTGGTGTGGTCTATTTGGTCACTCTGCACGACTTTGTTATTTTTCAGCAAGCTTGATCTTTATTTGGTGGATTTATTAAGGTTCATTCTTGGTCTTGGTTAAACTTTCTGGTCGGCAAAAAGCTAATTTCTTTTTCAGATTGGTACATCAATCCTATATCTTGTCTCTCCTGCTCATCATGACATTTTCTTCTACAATTGGTTGGTGTCAAACAGATATTGTAATTTTTTTTGTATAGTTGTCGTATTTATGTATTTCACTTATACAATCTCACTTAAAAACTATAACATAAAATCGTTAAATATAAATATATTGTAAATATAATATGGTGACATTGTAAATTAACTTTTAACAGTCCCGTCGCATTTATTTATCAGTTAGTTACTAATTAATTAAATAATAATAATAATAATAATATTGTATTCAAATAAAACAATCAATTTGATTCAGCTCTGATTTTCTAACCGAAGCCAAACATTCTTGAGTAAAAAATAGAGAATCCCAAATATTATAATGTTTTTTCTTTTTGATATTTACAATGTTTTTAATCCGTTTTTTTTTTATATTTTTAAGAAAGAAGTGATATATGATAATATTGTGTTAATAGTTATGTAATTAAATGTTAACCAAAGAAGGCATCAGTTTCACATTTCCTGAACATTTTTTGTCTAACCCTAGCTATGTTGAGTTTCTTTAGGCCTTCTTAAAAGGCTAAAATGATTAGAAAAAGGAAGTATTGACAATATTATATATATTTGATTTTGTATAATAATGATAATTAATTGTATGAGTGATATTGATTGTGAATACATTCGTCTTTATGATAAAGAATGTGATATTTTAAAAAATTGTATATTTTATGAAACTATTTATATCATATGGTAAAGAATGCACAATAAAAACACCTTTTTATATCAATTAAAAATGATTTTTTTATACTGATTGATATAGAAGGAGAAAATATAGAAAACATTGATTTTTTACGCCGGTTTTAAAATTGATATAAAAAATCTCACTTTTTATATCAGTTAAAGGTACAATCAGTATAGAAAGCAAAATATTTATAATTGGATTTACTTCAGAGTTAGTTAAAAGTTGGTTGTAATTCAGGCTCATAGTTTTTTTTTAAGATTTGGTGGAGCATGGATGAACGTCGACAATGTGTTGTTATGTTGCGCGCGTCTGGCTATGGTTGACAGTGGTGGCACACGGATTTGGCAGAGGCTGGGTTTCGCGAGATGTACACTCGTGGTGGTTGCATCGTTCTAACGCAGTGAATTCAATGGAAATTCGAGGTGATTCTTGTAGTGGTCGCGCAGTAAGTGCTACTTTCATGATGTTGTGTGGTGGTGCAAGGTGTTTATGTAATGGCCAGTGCAGATAGTGAGAGTCTTAGAGTTTTGCCGTAAGGATTTTAAGAGTTTAAGGATTTGAATGTATGTTTTTTCTTATAAATAAAAAAGATCTTAGAAATTTCACGTCAACTAGAGATAAAACCAATTTATAAAATTTATAATATATAAGTGAGTGTAAACCTCAACTTATAAACCAATTTTGTGATGGTATCCCATTGTCGATCTACTATCAGATCATCCATTAATTCTACTCTCACGCTCGAGATGTCTATATCTCAGTGTGAAGGGGATGTGTTAGAAGTTCTACGTCAAATAGAGATAAAGCCTAAGGCTTAAAAACCACTTTCTAACAAAAGATAAGAAACTACTTTTTATACTATCTGTATCTGCAAGGGCCGGACGCCGTACGGAAGGATCCATGTGTACGGACGCACAAACTAATTGGGCGGATCTCCATGCGGACGAGGCGGACGCCCATATCACATGG